GTGCGATGGTTGTATGCATCACTGTAACCACAGTTGCTTTTCAGACAACTTTGCCTCATTGGTCTCAGTTTTCATTTGACATGAATAATGAGTGCCAGAAATAATTAAAAACTGAGCCTAGCCCAAGCAGCCAAGTGGAAGTTACTGGTGACATTTGTGCCTAAACTAGAATATTCTCACAGAAAATACCTTTGATTGTGTGGGTTACCTTCCTGTTCTCTGCCAATTCCCCATCTGCTTGAGGTTTTCATTTTACCATGCTTTTCTAGTGCCTGGTATTTTTTTCCACATTTTTTCTTCTTGCTCTCTCTTCTATGTCTTCTCCACTCGTGTGGCTTTTCAGACTTTCCTTTAACTTCACTGTTCTCAGAACTATGTGCTGAGTTTCCTGTTCCTGCAACCCAAGTATAGTATTTATTGGCCACTTTCTCATCCCTACCTCCCAGTATTTACAGGAGTGACATGGAGTGTCACTTTTGGTGACTCAGCTTTCTTTTGTTTCAAAGGTGAAATTAAAAAATAGCTTGGAAGTAGCATTTGGGAACACTGAACAAAGAAAAGTGAGCAGATTCATTCACGTGGGTTAAATTTTCATGAAGATCATGAAAACCTCTTGCACTCCGCTGCAAAGACATTTTTCTCCTTTCAGTTACATGTCTGTTGTTCTACAAACAAAGGAAACCCGTTCCTTGAAGTTTGGATGAGATGTGCTTTATAGAGGAACTGTGGAGTAATGTGCGGTTTTGAGTATTAAGGATATATACTGTCTTTGTACGTTACAAAGGTAAAAACTGTACCTTCTGCCTTCTCACAATTTGCTGAAACACTGTCCTGTCAACAGGTCTCTTAATATAACCCAGTTGGTGTTTGTATCCTTTCTAAGGATACAGCTTCCCTAAGAGATGGACAAGCGTGTGTGCGCACACTGGCTCAAGCAAAACTTGGCATAGTAAAATACACTTTGTTTCCTTGATGGAGGATGAGAACTACTTTATTGTAACTTCCAGCTTTACAGGACAAATGAAACGTGACCACGTTCTTTGTAGAACTGAAAATCTGGGTTTTTTTAGGTGCTATGCTTGTAGATGGCTTGGGGTGAGGGGTTTGGAGCGAAGGCGGAGATGTCCCATATTTTATTTGTTCCATATGGACAGTTTTACAAAATCTTACACTTTCATGTGTTGTTTCTTCTCATCCGCTGCTTTTCTGCATACTTCTCTCTGCTCTGTTGAAAGGGGAAATGTTGCTACAGTATAACTGAGTTTTGAGAGGTTATCACAAGATGTTTCACTGTTGAGAGTGTATCTTCCTGATAAAGCAGGGGCTCTGAGGTTAGCGTGATGAAAGATAACTTTCCCTGCTTTCCCTGACTGCTTTGTCAGTACTCTGCCTGCTTCTCGCAAATGAGCTGGAGTAGCTCTGGGCTCCTTAATGTCTTTGCTCCTACTTGGAAAGGGGCTGGTCAGTTGCAAGCTTCAGGTGATAGCAGGAGCTCTCTTTGAGGGCCTTCCCTCTTGCTCTGGGTGCACTGAGGTGAAAGTCTGAGGCATCCTGAAAGCTATTTGTCTCAGCTGGTGAGCTAGCTGATGGACGGAGTGGGAAGTGTTCACAGATGACAGTGAGGGGTTAGTCTGCACATGCACAACCTATAGGGACAAGCTGTTGCCCAGTCGTGCCATTTGCATCAACATCTGTATGACATAGTGGTCTGGACAGGCTGCTGACTCCTTCTGAGCATTCACGTGTCCTGTGGTCTAAGGGCTGACTTCTGAGAAACCACAGCTGTCAGCTCCCTGCTGATAGTCCACCAGCTTAGCCAGGAGGAAATGGATGACAGAGCGAGCTGCATATACTGTGCAGTAACAGGTCAGAGTAACTTGTCTGCTTCATATTGGTTTCTAAAGCTGGTACATCATGGTTCGTGAAGCAGATGGCCATGCCTGCATTTTCCCTGGGCTTTTCCTGGGGATGAGTTTTTGCAGGGCAGCTGTGTGGGGAGCTGGGCAGGACAGGTGAGAAGGGGCCTGCCCAGGGCTGCTCTCTGTAGCTCAGCTACTGATGCTTCCTGGAGGGGGCCATGTTCTTCAAGGGGAAATGTGGTTGGGTTTCTTGGACCGCATCTCCTCCCCTTGCTGCTATTCTCACAAGTATTTCACAGACTCAAGCACAGCCTGAGGTAGCCTTGCTATTAAAGGGGAACAGAAAGGCCCTCCAGTCAAGGCAGAGCCGTTTGTAACCACGAGCTTTTGAGCTCCAGCAGCTGCTAATGGAGAAGCTCAATTCAGGTCTTCACTTAACTTTCTAATGAGTCTGTTGATTTCCTCAGTAATGGCCTCTCTAGCCTGGGTATCATCACAACAATATGATTGCTGAATCTGTATATGCAAATGGGTTGTCATTACTCAAGTATTTAAGTGAGTGGGAAGCCTGCCCTAACAACAGGTCCCTTTAGAGCATGGGTATTCTGGAACGTAATGGGGTGGTTTCCCTTCCAGTGCTGGCATCTTTACAAGTCAGTAGCATGTGACTGGAACTTGCGAAATGACCATGGCATCACTTCACTGCTTATGTGGGAAGTTGGTAATTTGCAATTTCAGAATTTCCTGAATGAAAAAACAGATGAACAATTCATACCCAAAACTCTGAATGCCTTTTCTGTCAGCTGTTAATCAAATTACTGATTAACATTGCTTGCTTCTTCCCATATTACCTAACAGCTCTGTTCTTACATATGACATCCGGGCAGTCAGCTCTGTTACAAGAATGCAGAAGTGCAAGACAGGATAAGGCAATGCCAGAACTTCTTAAAAGCTCAAGTTTTTTTTTTTTTTATGAGCTAATTTGTTTCTAGTATGAAATAACATCAGTAAAGCAGAGAGACCAGAGGGGTTGTTCTCTCCTTGTTCCCCTCCTATCCTTGCTCACTGCAGATGTTTTAGCTGAGATCCACAGCTTTAGGTTTCATTTTCCTCTGAAATGGACCCTGTGTAGGACAAGTGAGGTATAAATTACCGTCTAATGGTTCCATATTGAAGTGGGAATGATGTAATGGTGTAATTCTTAGTATCACTGTCTGAAAATCCAAAAGACCACCTTTAGTACATAGCCTTGTGTCAAAGTAGTTTCTTAGTCAAATCTGCAGATTTATGTTGACAAATTACATATACTGTTCTAGGTTTGTTTAAGAAATGTTGATGTTGGTGGTGATGCGTTACTTGAACTCTGCAAAGCTGCAGTTTTTTAGCTTTACTCTCTTCTACAGCAAACATTAAAGCAGCAATCTACTTGTACTCATATGAGTAGGCTCACTTGCTGTGTGGAGTAATTCACATACTTAAAGTTAAGCGTATGTGCATGAGTATTTATGATAAAAATTTCAGCTGAATTATTCACTAAAATTTCACCTGAAAACAAAGTTGCATTCATAAAATTCATAAAATCCCATTTAAATGTGTAGAAAATATTTTTTTAAAAAGTGCATTAATAAGAATTTCAAACATCCTTGGTTTAAGTCTTTGGTAGTAACAATAATGAAGAAGTCTAGATTTAAATTCCTGACTGACTTATAGCTTCACTGTTTGAAACTAGCAGGACATGAACTGCTAATAGAAGCCTACTTAATAACTTTGTCTCTCCTGATTTGTGGAAGCTTGATGTACCCAGAGCTTGGGGGATTCTGAGTAAAACCTAGACTGTTGTCAGCTTCACTGTATGGATGCCACAGGTTAGACAGCATAGTTGGTCGCTTAGGTCTTTCTCATCAGGACTGAGCATTTTAAATGGAGCTTTTCTTACTAATATAAAAACTCTGCCAGGTCAAATCTGAGATTTATCTAGTAAATAATTTGTACTGCTTTACAGATGTGTTTTACAGTAACTAGTAAATAACAAATAAATTCCAAAATGTTGTCTTAAATCCTTGACTGCTCCACAGTTTTCCAAGGTTTGGAAAAATTTGGCCATGGGAGATAGACTTTTAAGAATTCATTCAAGTCTTCTGACAAGGGGAAGTCAGTCACTTTCACCCCATGTTTTGGAAGACAGGGGAAAAAAGCTGTGAATCATGTGAATCAAGAGGTAGAAACTAGATAAGAAAGCACTCTTTACTAAGTAGATATAAAATGACCTGTTGTTTCCTTTCTGTAGTTGGGAAAATTATTTCCTGGCAGGGGTAGGAGAGCTGTAATCTGTTTTAATTCTTGCCAGGTTTTTTTTGCAGCTGGTAATACCAATTCAGTTTGTTTTTCCATCAATATCCATGCTGTTACATTGAAACAGGTATGAGAACATTATTTTGAACACACAGATTGTAGGGTTGCATGTGTTTACTTCTACTCTTACATCTATTTGGGTAGAGTACTATTATTCTTTAATGTGAAGGCTCTAATATATTTAGGTTTCACTCTTGTATATATACAGGATCTTATAGTTCTTGCTTGAGGAAAAGATTCCCTTCAGATTACTGCTTCATGTTGTATTTTATGAACTTGGGAGTTGCGGTGAGCAATATAAGCACGATCCAGAAAACAAAAGATACTCCAGAAAAGAAAGGAAGGTTGTTTTTCTTCATGTGCTTTAGGAGAGGAAGACTAAAGGCTGCTGCCCATCCTATGATGTACTCAGAGCGCAGCTGGAGTCAGATGAGTTGCTGATCATTCTTATATTAGGCATTGATATACTAATTTTCCTATCTAACATGAGAAGGGACTATCCATCTTGGCAAAGAGTGGCACTGTTGTTTGTTTTGTAAGCATGTTCAGTGCTACGCCAGCACTTTTGTGTCTTTGTGAATGTTCCCCAGCAATCCTCTTAAGGGAAAAAAGGAGGAAGCTCTGTAGTTTCCCTTTCTTCAACTAGATCCCTTTTTCTGAGTATTGCTTTGAGAAGAATGGCAAGTTCCACCCCACCACCTCCCTGGCTCTTTCTCGGGGTGGATGTATATAATATGCATTTTCAGCAAAGGAGAGTGATGTAACAGGACTCTGTATGCTTTATTTTAGATTCAGGCTGTGACTCTGTGACCGATACAGAAACAGAAGACGAGAAGAACCCAGTTTACTCCCACAGACTCGCCATGACTGAAGAACATGGATCACCCAAGAGCACTGGGGACCATCCAGTGGTGCAGCCTGACCGCATACAGTGTGGGGTACTGTATGTCCACTCCTTGGGCTTAATTCTTACTGTGGGCTGGTCCAACCCATTATGCTGCTCTGTAATGGACAGCTATACAGGCCTGGGAATTAGTCTCTAATTCCTTGTCTGTCACCTTCCCTCTCAGCCCCCTGTCCTCAGTGTCTGTTTCATGAGCTCAGTTCTCTAGGCCCAGAAATAGCTCGGTAACATGCAGTGCCCAGTGTTGTTTAGGCTGCAATGTCACCTATTGACAGATAGTCTCATTGACACAGCTGCTTGTCTTGTGTGCTGTGAGGCAGGTTTATACTCTTGACTTCCCATCTTCCAATGTGGTGAGATTTAGGGGTGGCAAGTGGAGGAAGGTGATTGTAATGAACCAATTAACTCCACAGCCTTGGTTCAGTCTGATATGACTCCAAAGAGCTTGGATCGTGACTTCCTGTCTGAAAAACGACATTTCTTATTATAGCATCCCCTCAGATGGAAAAAGTCTAAGTTTATTCCTTTGTTTCTGTTTAGAACGGGGCTGTGCTGCTTGAGGGAGGAGACTGATACAGTTGAAACTAAATAAGTTTATAAAACTAGCTTTAATCAGTTTGTAAATCTAGCTGATAAATTAAGAGCTTTATCAGCTTAATGCATGTACCTATGCTGGTGCAAGCTGTAACAGAAGCCACCTGCCCAGTTACTCCATGGCTGTACGATGCTCCTGAAAACCATTCAGGACCATGAAAATGACAGATGATAATATTTATGTGTCAGTTGCAATGACAACAAAATCCCTAGAAAAGTAAGTGTTCTTATGTTGTGAACCTGCATGTTGTAATGCCTTTTCTCTTAGGTGCAGACAAAAGTTTATATTATCATGAAATGTAAACTAGATGGCAAAGTGAAAACTGAAGTTGAATTCTCTCCAGAGAATGCGTCATCTGTGCGTGTACTGGCTGAGATGGAGAATGAGTACACAATCTCTGTGGAAGCTCCAAGTAAGCTGGGTTGAGATTTTGCCCCCTTCTTTCCCTCTTGCTTCCTTTCTATCTCAACCTGCCTGCCCTGAAAAGTGCCAGAGGGATAACGGTAAAGGCTGCAACACAGGAAAACTTGAGTCTGGAGAATCTTGAACTTGCATTCTTACGTGTGATACTTTTGTGATGAGGAACTGAGATAGACTGCTGCTTGGGGGCTCTGTTTTCCCCTCAGCAGTGGCAGGGTTGCAGTGTGGAAGCACCTTACTGGGAGTTCTGAGAGCAGATTGCAGCTTGTAAAGCACTTTGAATTTAACTGCATGTTATAACCACCACCTCATTAGCATTGGTAGGGCACCAAGAGAAAGTAAGTGCCAGTAAATAAATGCATGACTATAACAGCATGTGCTTAATGTGTGATAATCTCCCTGATCAGAGCTGAAACTATTTATCCAGGCTTGCCTTTTAATTTAGGTATGTTCTGTCAGTCTAGATATTCACATTTACAAAACTGTAGGTTGTCTAAACTTTAGGTTCATTAAACTTTGGAGGCAAGATCTCACAGCCTTACAGATTGATAGTAGTTTCCCAGCATGATTAACTACTTTAGTCTGTCATTGTGCCAGCTTTGAGAATAGAGACTAATAGTCATTATGGCAACTCCTGTAAAGTCAGTGAGGTGGATTGATTTAAAGAAGGTGACCTTGCCCACATAAAAATGTTCAACTTAATCTTAAATCAAGACTTATAATTCAAACATGGACCTGGAAACTAACTTGCACTTTGAATAATGAACATGACTTTCACATTAATGGAGTGTGCAACTATGTAAGCTCTGCAGTTTCTAACAATAAAAGAAATATATTTTTAATTGCTTGCGCACATCGCTGTAACTATTCATGATTTCCTGAGTTGTTAACAGCCAAGCATATATACAGGGAAAGATTAATTTCAGTGGGATTCAAAATATTTGTGTTTCAAAGAGAAAGTTCAGATCTATGAATGCACACTGGATAAAACATCAAGAAGCTCCCAAGGTGCAGGTAGGAGATAAAGATGTGAAGCTGGAATTCTTTAAGGTGATTTTATTCAGAGACTAGTGAGGCTGACAGGGGTTGCAAAATCCCCAGTGACACTTCTGGCTTCAATCCCCTTCTTCCCCAGCTCTCATATTTTATGGCACAGTTTAGAGACTGCTCCAGAGAAAGCCAGAGAGTTGTGAGGCTTTCTAGTTTGAGGTGGTGGCCCAGACTACTGTTAGCCGAGGACCTAGCAGGTCACAGGTGATGTGCATTGGCATACCTAGGAAGGAAGGTTGTTCCAAAGTACTTTCCTATCTAGTGTTCAGGCCAACATAATCTCCTTTTTTTTCCATGACTCTTCATGAATTCAGTACAACAAACTCTTTTTGGTATCCAGATGGCAGTAGCTCCAAACTCATCTTGTCCTTAGGGTATTTGATGCAGACTCATTCCCCTTGTTTGTTCTCAGTGGTGATTTCTTCTTTCTTTCAAAGATTTAACCTCTGGGACAGTGCCTCTGCAGATATATTCAGGGGACTTGATGGTGGGAGAAACAAGTGTCACCTATCATACCGACATGGAGGAAATCAGCAGTCTGCTGGCTAATGCAGCCAACCCTGTACAGTTCATGTGCCAGGTAATGACTCTAGCAAACAGCTGCTTTGGAAATGAGCTTTTTCAGAGGCTAGACAAGTGGACATAAGCAAAAGTGCTTCCCATGAAGCAGCTCTTCTGAAATAAGAAATGCAAGTTTATTTAGGGAATTTCATATTAACCTTAACATTCCCTTTTAGCAAAAGAATGGGTACTTTTTCTGTCCCTGGAGCAAATAGCTGGCTAAGGTGACTCAGGCTATCCAACTAACAAAAAAAATGCAGTCAATCAACACTCACATTTAGACCCTGATGACTTGAAAAGATTGGAATGACAGAACTTGATATAACAGAAAGTACTATAATGAAATTGTTCAGAAATTTCTACCTAAGGATTCTTGGAAAATATGTGAAAATACTAGCTGCATGGAGTAACATAGAATGATTTGTTTATTCTTAGCACTTATTTGTTTAGAGCCACTCCTCAGTTCTCATATCATATTTTGCACAGTTGGGGCACCTGAACCCTATTAGAGGGGTAAAGCTTGCACAAGCAAGTTCTCCAGATGGGTTGTCTTTGCTACCTGCCTCCATGTCCCTGATCAGCCACGTAGTGGAAGCCTACAGAGTAGTGTTGTTGGTCACCAGCATACCTAGGGCAGGGGAGACTGTCTTTCCCTTTCTTTTTAGTTCCAGTTGTGGAGCAGCTGGTACTGGGCTGTCCCTCTACTTGGGACATAAGCATGCTTCCCAGTCTTTGGCTAAGAACCCGTCCAAAAGCCAAACCCAGATTGTACACCAGAGCAACTCAAAATGGACTACTTCACACTTAGAGCAAGAGAGACACTCCATTGGAACAGTTTCAGAAGTAAAATTATACCTGTCAAGGAAGTAGGAAGTAAGAGCGTTCTGTGCTTCCAGCTGCATGAGTGACTTTCTCATTGTACTCTGTCTTGTTGTGGAGTGTATGGTTCTCATCTGCTCAGATTAATGATACTCTGTTTCTGGACCAGGAAGCTATTAATGTTCTTTGAGTGACCTGAACATTGTTAGCTTCAGTGTTTATACCTACTGTTTTCTGTTATGTGCTAAATAAAGAACCACCTTCTAGATCTCGCCTTAACTGAATCTCCAGACTCCCCCAAACAAAATCACTTTCCATTTGTCTCTAGGCCTTTAAAATCGTGCCATACAGCATAGAAGCACTGGATAAACTGTTGACTGAGTCACTAAAGAAGAACATTCCTGCCAGTGGCTTACACCTGTTTGGAATCAACCAGCTGGAAGAAGAAGATATGACAACAAGTAAATTGAAAGATTTTTGCTTTCTTTTTGAACTTCATCTGTATCAGTTGTTTTACCTTGAAGCGCCTTAGCACTGTAGTGTGTGGTACCTGCACAGGCTGTCTCAAAAATCTTGTATCTCAGCCAGGAAGCTAAATTTCTGATGATGCCTATAGAAGGGAGATTGCCATTTGGGTGACCCTTTTTTGGTTACATGCCTCAGTCTCACTTCCTTGCACTGTGACATATGCAGCTATGTAGATAGCTTCAAAGACAAGCAAATTGAAAAGATGATGCTCCCCAAAATGTCTCCCATATTTTCTCCTTTGTTGTTCTCTCAGTCCCATGTGGCATTTCTCCCCAGCCCAGTCCTTTTCCCCCAACCCCATGACTCCGCTGTAAGGTGCACAGTGGGCACTCAGCAGTTGGATTGGTGTTCACACGTTTACCTTACAGCAGCTGGATCCTACTGGAATGGTGATCTAAGAGGTTCTTGCCAACTTGTGATCCTACATACATTAAGCTATTACAGAGTCAGGTTCCCCACTAAAGGTCATAGGACTTAAGCCTGAAGATGTGCTAGATACCTCATTTAATTTGTGCAGAGTTAGCTCCATTTTGAGACTGTATATATACTTTTCAGGGCTTTCACACCTGCCTTGGTCTGTGTGTTTGTTTGCTGGTAATTTTGTTCTCACCTACTGGCTCTGTTACTGCTAGAGAGAAACTTAGATTCTAACTGGCTTCTGTTCTCACAGATCAAAGGGATGAGGAGTTGCCAACACTGCTTCACTTTTCTGCAAGATATGGGCTGAAGAACCTCACTGCTCTGCTGCTTACATGCCCTGGAGCACTGCAGGCCTACAGTGTAGCCAACAAATACGGCCACTATCCAAATACCATAGCAGAAAAGCATGGCTTTAAGGACCTCCGCCAATTCATTGATGAATATGTGGTAAGAAGCAGCAGCAGCAGTCCTTCTGCATTGTCCCACTGAAGGTGTGGGCAGTGGTACCAAGCTTAGTACTTAGTGTTATGGGAGCATGGGTGATGGGCTAATAAAGGGTGCAATGAGGTGTGGTAGGGTGTAGAAGAGAGACAGCCAGCCACACTGAAAGCTTCCAGGCTGGAGGGTTGAGTACATCTCTGGAGCTGGGGAAGTTCTTGGGGCTTTTGCAGAGAGCAAATAATATGATAGCAGCAGCTGCCATGTTGGGTTTCTTTATCATCTGTTCATCTGATGAAGTTTCTGCAGGGATGTGGTTGGTGGCTGGTGTATTCTTCTAACCTCTGATCTTGGGAAAACGACAGCCCCTTCATCCCACTTTAGGGAGTAATATGGGGATACAATATGTTTGGGAAGGTACAATCTGAGGTGCTGTCTGGTTAGTCGTAGTACAGTCTGGATTGCTTATTAGCTCATTCACAGCTGATCTGTGTAGTCTGGCTGCTCCACTTGAAATCCATTTCTTTCCTGCATTAGGATAGCTGTCTGCTCCCTACTTGTTCTCTCTGGGAGTCCTAGTCACAATTCAGTTCTCTTTGAGCTAACCCCATCCCCAGAAAACAGCATTCTGACTTTTCCAGATTATCACATGGACCCGACTCCAGCTGCACCAGGCAACTGTTTCTCTGGGGTCCTTTGGTGTCCATGGGGTTTATCCTTTCTTTTCTATTTAAGTTGTTTCTGGCCTATATGCTTCAAAATAATGAGCAGCTCCTTCACTCAGATCACATGAATTCTTGAGCAGGTTTTATTTGCCTTTGCTTTTGGTTGAAAAGTACATAATTGTCCCTATCAGTTGGCTGAATGGTGGGTGATAGATCTGCCAGCCTTGATGTGGTTCTGACAGCCAATTGCAGTACTGTTTAAGCCCTATTTAGGAGACAGGAGTGTTTCTTAGACTTGAGACTTGCTTCTTGACATAAGCATGAAATTAGGGTTATACATTAACTAAAAAAAACTAAATAAAGGTTAGTCCCTGTTCTGAGATCAGGAGGACTGCAAAAACTGTAAATTGTGCATTGGGGTAAGTGAGAGATGCTTAGGAAGTCTTTACAACCTCCTATTGCAGTACTGTGCTCCTCTCGTGTCCTCTTTCTCTACCAGCATAGTGACAGAGCTGTGTTAAGAGTAGGTCCTGCTTATTGACCGTCAAGCTATCTGTACAGCTTAGTACCAGAGCATGGAAATGATCTGCACCTGCATGTCCACTGAAAGGTAGTGACTGGGAACACTACTAGTATGGATGTCTGAAAATCCCAGTAAAACCCTTTACTTGCCTAATTTTTTCTCTGGCAAAAGTTCCTCTGCACCTCCCTAAAGCATCACACGAGCTACCTGCCTGACCCATTTTGATAGTGGAGGGAACTGTGTATAGACAGTTTTTGACTCACATGCCCTGTGAATTGAAGGTCCATGAGGTGGTGGATGTGGATGGAAGAATATCTTGTAGTACTGCAGCCAATTAAGATGGCTGTGCTTGTGACAAAGTTGGAACTTGGGGAGGAGGCTGAGATGAAGCTTTACATTGTGCTCCCTTGTGTGGTTTGGTGAAGATCTGCACTGCTCCCTGCCACCCACCATGTTGCAAATATGTGAGAAAGGGCTCTGCTGTCCTGTGAATCGAAAGTTGCCTATATACACAAACAGCTGCCTGCTGTGAGGTTTCCTGTTAATCTCACAGAAAAGGGTCTGTGTACTCCTACTCTGGGTGTTATGTGCTGCTGCTAATGCCAAAAAACTGAAACTGAATCTACACCAAAACTAAAACTTTGCTTTCTTGTAAGTGTTCTGCATGCAAGCAATCCCTGTTATGGTCAACTATGCTTACACTAAATTAGCCTTTGACGAGCATTTGTATTTTTAGAATGAGCTTTGCTTATCTCCTAGGAGTTTGCAGACATCGGGTAGGACATGAAATTGAGGGGGTGAGGGGCTCTAATGGCTATTCAGAATGTGTCAGCACAAACTTGTTTCACCTTCGTTACCTATTATTACAACACATCTTGAAGGCTGGGCCCAGACAGCTGTAGTGGAGATTTAATTCCTTTGAAAAGCTTTGGTCTTTGGGAATGGGCTGCTTTTAGAAGGTTTTTTCCATCAGTGATGGGAGAGTGAGATATCTTATGCTTGCTTTGATTCTCCAGATTCTTTGTTTAAATGAGTTTTGAACATTTTTTTCTTGCCTTCCTTTCTCTCCAGGAAACTGCAGATATGCTGAAAAGTCACATTAAAGAAGAGCTGATGCAAGGCGAGGAGGATGAGTCTATTTATGAATCCATGGCTCATCTGTCCACTGATCTGTTAATGAAATGTTCCTTGAATCCTGGCTCCGATGAAGAGCTTTATGAATCCATGGCTGGATTTGTCCCTGGTGCCCCAGAGGATCTTTGTATGTATATTCATAGCATCACAGAACCATAGGATGGTTTGGGTTGGAAGTGACCCCCTGGAATGAGCAGAGACATCTTCAACTAGATCAGGTTGCTCAGAGCCCTCATCCAAGAGGCCTAAGCTGATCTGTCTCTCTTATACATCGTAGTGCCCCAGCTGAGTTTCAGAGTAAGGGCTAGTTATAGCTTTTCTGCTTTCACCATAAGGAAACCATGTGCCATTTCTGATGTTGTCTGGCTGATAAAATTGCTCTAAACCTGTCCTTGATTGCCAGTGTACAAGATCAAGAGCTGTTTCCTCCGTGCTTTGAGGACTCCCTGAACCCTGAGCAAGTGAATTAACATTTGAAAAAGACCAAATTTTCTACCATGTCCTGCTTCTCCCTCCTGAGATCCAGGGAGGTAGGGACACTCAGAGACACTGGTGGGAAAGAACACTATGTAAGATGTAATTTTACTGACAACTGGAAAACTGAAAAACAAGAGCTGAGCTTCTACCTCAACAGCTTGAGAACAAAAGAGAGCAAACATCTAGAAATACATGTACTGAAAAGATTATAATTGAAAACTCATTATTCTAATCCACCTGGTTTATTGCTAAAAATATAGTGCTGATTCTGTTAAATATGCAGATGTTTAACTTTTTCAGCATGCCATTAATATTCACTGAGGTCAATTGCAAACATCAAGTAAAGTACCTATGTTAAGCAATTGTAAATTTGCTGTTCTTACATACTTGCCTATTTGGTCTGGCTTCATTCCAATTATATATTTTATGATTCCCATGATGAGCAGAGAATTTAACTTCTTATAGTTTAAGTACCTGCATAAGGACTTCTAGTGTTTCTGCAGTTTTAAGTGTGCTGCCTCAGGGGAAGAGCTTTCTTACTGAAACTCTTTTTCTTCTAGACTATATCTGTCTGGGGCTGATTTTCTCCTCTTTTAGATTAAACAATGTTATAAAACACATTTTTGTTTGTTATGGAGTCCAGAAGACTTTTTCGGTTCTTAGCCTGAAGTCATAAACTCTTCTTTGTGAAGTTTTGTTTGGCTGCTGCAGAGACAGTTTTGTTACCAAAACCAGGATTATTCTGCCTTCAGGTGGAGATAAGCGGTAAGGCTGGTTGGACTCCTAAGGAACAAAGCTGCTGTTGTTCCCAGTAACAGGGCTGAGAGTTTCTAGATGTTTGGAAGCTCTGACTGCAATCAGTACATCTCTGAATGGGGTTGATTGATGAAGTCTGTGGAGGGGGAAAAACATGCTTAAAACCACTAAGCCAAACTTCTTGTCTTCCACCAGTGAAATGTCCCGATCTCCCAGAAACTATGCAGGGAATATTACTTTTTTTGTGGATGCAAATCAATCTCCCTGTAATTTACCACTTTTGAACTGGACTCTGGAAAGCCTCTCTGAAAATATTCTCATATTGGTTCAGATTTAGATCAGAATTGCTTCCTGTGGAGAAAACCATTTGCCAGCCCTGCAGACTGTTGGTGGAAGAACTAATTGTTTTAAGGCGCTTGTTTCTTCTTCCCTGATGAAGATCACCACCTCCCTCAGTCTGCTGTCTCAGTTGTTTGTGTGCGTGTTCCCTTGCCAGTTTCTGTCAAACAAGCCACATTAAGTTAGTTCAAGTATACAGGTTTTCCTGCCCTCACTTACTCTGATTGACAGATCTCAGAAGGGAGTTTGGCTGGTGTTTTGGATGAATACATGAAACAGTCTGCTTGGCTGTCAGGCAAGGAGATGGAGAGCTAGGAAAGGCTGCCATGGGATGGAAAAGGTTGTGCATTTTGAAGCCTAAGTCAGGCTGCTTTCCTTAAGCTTCCTCAGTAGCAAAGGCCCAGCAGGCTTATGTCCTTTAGGGGAAGCTTCTGCAAGCACAGCCACATCAGCAGCTTCTGGGATCAGCACCAGAAAGTTCTCCTGGTGTGCGAATGTGCTGCAGGCTCTGCAGGGCTAGTACAGCTAGAAAGCTGTCCCTAAAGTACTTAACGACTCCTTTACTGAAAAGCAGAGCTGAATGAGTCTGCATCTTAAAAGGTTTTCCTTATTGGTGAGATGCTGTATATGGCTTATCTGTAATACTTCACCAAGAAATGTGTGTTTCCTGCTTCTTCTGGAGTTCTCCTATGTGTACTGCTCCTGCACACAAATCTCTTTTGCCTTCCACTCAGGTGTCTTTTACTGAAAATCTGTTTTTCTTACGTAGTCTGTTGGTCTTTGCCTGAAGAATAGTTACAGCTTGTCTGAATAGTGCTTAAAATCTACCTGTATTGTAATAGGTAAGATTAAATTGGCACAATACTTGACACTTAGATTGGTTCTTTCAAAGTGAAGGTGTTTCAGTATTATACCACCACACAGGCAAACCCTTACTGAAGACAGTGGGAGTGCTGGCTGGCTTTAGAACTGCCATCACAAACAAGAGCTTCAAGCTTTTGTACTGACTTAAAGGTTTGTGTGGATGAAAAACTCCCTAGGAAATCACAATCAACTTCTGCTGAGGCACTTTCTTCAGGTCAGAGTCGTCCTTATGTGCGTAGTTATGGCTGTGGTGTAGAGGACAATACCTGGGCTATTTTAAGTGTAGCCGTACTGTGGCAGCATGCCCATTTATTCTGATCAAGACGTGCATCCACCACAATTTTTCAGAGACTGATCAAAGGAAGGTTAGATACCACAGAGTCAATTTGTAAGGCAGGAACTGGTTTGAGAATAAGGTAACACAGGACCGGAGCCATTGTAATGAGTTAAAAGTAGTAACAAATACTTGAATACTGGAGTGTTCTGTTAGTTCTTGGATTCTTCATCCCACTTCTGATTTTTCAATGCATTTTTATGTGTTGTTTTTTTTCTCTCTGCATTTGGTCCTCAGAAAACATTTACAGAGAAAGTGCAGAAGCTGTGCAAGGGCCCAGTTTTGCTTAAACTGATGCTGCATGAGAGTTGCACACAATTGTGTTGAGTTGCTAGTTGTCCCTTTAAGTTTTGAGATAAGTGATTGAATAAAAAAAAAAAAATTGAAAAGGTTTTGTTCATCTTAGAGGGAGGTCTTAACGCCCTGAGCAGTGTAGATCCTAAAGTACTCTTAACCAAATCAGTGGGAACTTACTAGCTCCTGCTGTTACCTTGTTCACTATTGTTTTGTAATGAGTTTGTTTTATTTAATTTCTAATTATTAATCTAACTGTTCCCACTTGAGAAGAGCACTTCCCTCTTATTACACTTTTCAAATACCTGTAAAGTCAAACATAATTTTCCAGAATATGCTCCACATTGGTGCAGGTTGCAGCTAAATGTCATTTAGCTGAGTCACTCACACACTGTAACAAACAGCAGCTAATAGCAAAAAGGGAGAGTTAACTCCATCATAACCAGTCTAGTAGTATGAACTACAACATCAGATAAAGTGCTTTGCTTTTTCTGCTTTCCTTTCAACAGCACCTCCTGCTGATTTTTGCAAAACACTATTTTGAGTAGGCTGGCATTGTGTGCCGGAGGGGTTCTGAGAGTAAGGACTCTTGAAAGTGCAGAACACCTGTTTGATTTGTGTGAAGATTAAACTGCGTGGTTTGTATGTGTGTTATTATGCTGTTTTACTTGGGGAAAAAGTGAGGCTGTATTTCCTCTGTCCAGGGTCAAAGAGTGGCAGTGGCCAAGTCTGGACTCTTAGTGCTGTTTCCATATCTATGAACTGTGTGGACACTCAGACCCCAGATAGTGTGAGTTTCATGCAGAGATTTAATCCTTTATCCTAGAGAGTATCATCTGACTAAATCTATTGTCCTGTAAAATAAGTGTAATTCAACACTTAAAAGAGTAGATGTTGGTTCACGTATAAATAAGTTGTGTTGCCCTTGTTCTACTCTCTTGCATATCCTCTCCATCCTCCATTTTATTCTTGAGACCAAGCTTTCAACATTGTCCTGTTTTTTATTTTTTCCTTAGTTAACGCAAGAAACAGCAGCCTCCTTGTCATCCTTGAGCAAGCTGAGAGAATTGTGCACAAAAATATAACTGCTTATAAGGTTCTGAGTTGTGATCTGTGCCTACACATTGAAGCCTTTGTCTTGCCTAACAAAGGACTGGTCTCTGTAAAGAGGTAGCTTGCTTCATGTGCAGGAATACCTGGACGGGTGTTATTACTTTCTAAAGAGTGCTCGTGCATGGATATTTTAGCTATTGTGAAGGGTCTGTAGGTCATAACTCATCTTCTGTATGTCTGTCTGTTTGCAGGTTGGTTGAGCTTCCTTCTGAAGCCTTAAAACCCTACAAAGGGAAACTGAAACTGTCTGAATAAATATATTTTAGTTACTAAATTCTGACGCCTAGGAAGTACTTAACCCTCTTCCTGCTAACCCTTCAGAACAACTTTCCACAATAGCCTCAGGAAAATCTGGGGACCTTTCCTGTGATACCCAGTGTTTGTGTGCACCACCTTCTGGTCTCTTTTGTCTCACTAGCTTGTTTTTGGAGCAAGTAAAACAGAAGGCATCATTGAAGAAGTTGAGAACTTTGTTTCAATTCTGGTACATGGATGAGATGTTAGGTCTCATCTGTGTGCAAGACAGGCCTGTGTGCAAGAGGGTAGCAGGGTGGCAATCACGTCTTCCAAGGAGAACTGATAAATTGGTGAATTTACCTACATTGACTATGTGACAGAAAACAAACCCTGTGGTATCCTGATGGATTGCTGGTTCAGTAATCCTGCAGAGCACAGCCAAAACTGGGAACATACTGTTCCATCCACAGAGAGTGAAACGAATTTTGCACACATCACATTCTGTTCTGCCCCCAAATCCATAAAGTAGTGTCTTTCCTCTGGACTTGTATTTGCTACAGTTTCATTTCTAAAAGCTATGTTAAGAATAATCAAGGTGGCTGCAAGGTGGAAAAATCACTCTAAAGAAAAATACAGGTCTGTTGTGATGATTCTTTGGGATGCTCAAGTGTCAAATCTGTGCTGCTATGTAGTGCAGCAGTACAGAAATTAATTTTAAATTAGGTTGATGGTAAGCGGATTAGCTCCAGCAGCATGCAACTTGGTGTGGACTTTGGAGCTCTTGAGAAGCTGCTGGTGTGGTTAGTCCACACAGCATGCAGTATGGCTGTGGCTATGCTGGAGGTATTCCTGTCAGGTTAAAGCTAGGTTGGGTGCATTCACATGACTGTCAGTGGGTCCTTTGACAATTATTGTTTAAAAAAAACCTCACAGCATTCTAACAAAGGAAAATCTTCCTAGCATGATTTAATCCCTTTCTCATAATCTCCTCAGTTTTGCAGGAAAAAAATAAGAAAAGCCAACAAATATTAAAAAGGCATTTATAGAGAAATATTTCATATTCTCTCATGTGACCCAAACAATCTAGTTTATATAGTAGTAGGTATTTCAAAATATGCCTCAACAATTCATTTATATCACTCTTGTTTTTAATGTCATTAGGAGCATGGTTACTTAAATTTTATTGTGGTTTTAGGGTTTGAGGTTGACCATGTTTTTTGTAATCAGAATCCTTCATGTCAAAACACTGACTTAACAAAGTATCTTATTGTTTGCTGTCATTCCTTTCTCAATAGTAAATTATCATCTGACCCTCTAAACACCTTCCAGTTCAACTAATTAATTCAGACAGCTGTTTTGACTTTTATCCAATAAACAAATACTATCTTATGTGTCATGGGCAAATTGCTCTTAGTGTCTCGTTTTGCTGAGTCACAGAGTTTCCACTCAGTTTGGCCTCTCAGGAGCACTGCTCAGAGGCCAAAACCTTCATCTGGCCAGCACACTCTCAATAACAGCTAATCCTCAGTGCCTGCTTGGAGCTTTGTCAGAACTTCTCAATAAGAAATGTTAGTCACCCTCAAGCGCAAGCATCAGGCAGCTGGCAAAGATTTAGAATGGACTAGACATAGCAACTTGGGAGCCTTTTTTGAGGCAAGGGTCTGGTCAGTTGCCTGACTTCCTCTTTGATTTTCACCATAAACCAAAGGTCCAATCAGAAATGTCACATTGTTTCATTATATTGTATGACATTGTTCTACATGTTTAAGGGCATAATCAACAGGTTCATCTTTGATTTTTTTTTAGATGTAGAGATGCTTCAGTCCAAACCAGACACTCCAGTTGCCGGAGATGAAGTTTCTCTAACTACAAAAGACTCAATGCTCCGCAAGTTTTTAGAAGGTGAGACCTGTTTGGAAAGAGGGACGACAGTAGCACAGTTAAAGCAATTAAATGGAACTCGAGATTTCTCCTTGATCTGTTAAGGACAGGAGCTAGTCCACACTGTTTGACATGGAGAGCTTTGTCTTCATGGGTACAAACGAGGCACAACAGAGAACACAGCTTTTGAGGTGATTTCACAAACGCAGCTACCATTGTTAAGTACAGATGTGTGTACCCAGCTCCCTCTGAGACACACTATTCTGAGATGAAATATATTGTCAGCTGATGGCGATCGCTCATTTCAGACAATGGAGTAATTCTCTGTAGTACTTTGTAGAACATCACAAGTAGCTTTTGGAAACCAGTGGTCTGTTTGATGTTAACTGTTATAATGAGCTAATTAACTGGAATTAATTGAACTAACTGTTCCTCGAGTTCTTAAAAACAGTTATAAGATTTTCCACTATGGTTTCTTCACCAAAAGAGATGGTACAGGCTTAGTGACAAATACCTAAATGCTGCCAAATGTTACTGACTTTATCAAGTCCTATCTTGAAGGGCTTTGGCACTTTATGTCTCTGCAAAACTGAATGTTTTTGCCTGTGAAATGGCCACCTTGGTAAGAATGTGGCGCACGATGCATCTGGAGGGATACAGTGTTCAGTGAAGTGGTCAGGTTGTTTTTCTTACAAACTCTACTCTGTTGTAGGCAGTAGCGTGGATGTGTCAGACTCAGAGGAAGGAGTTTCCCAGCAATATGGTGAAGATGTATACTACTCAGTGAAACAAGATACTTTTCCACAGGAAATGGCTAGTAGACCTCCAGTTCCTGTTCCAAGACCAGAATCCAGCTCTCCACAGCCAGACAATGAGCTGTACATCTCCAAAAGTGAGCTGAGTACCAAGACCTAAACTGTAGACTACTCAACTGTAGAATGGCCTTGACATGGGCTCCAGTTGCTGAATAAATGCCAAGAAAATCTACACGTTTTTGAGACCCCTGCATTATTTGGCTCTGGAACTGGATTACCTTTGGAATCCAATTTCAGATCTGTTTTTTATTTTCTGCCTACTCTGAAGATGTGGGGATGTTGTATCCTGCGGCCTTCGCCTGAGCTTACTCTTAATGAAAGCAGTAGGATGACAGATTACTCCAAATGGTACAAGCAAATCCAACTAAATAGGAAAAAACCTGCTATTATAGGGACACAGTCAAACTAATAAATTGAGACATTGCTGCTCTGTAATGGTATAATTGGTTCAATAGCATTTGTATAGGACATGATTCTATACCTCAATACCTTCCTCTGATGTGGGGCTTTATTGAAATTGAAGAAAATTCTGCCTCTTAGTTTGCCAGGCAGTTTTGGAAATCTTGGTCATATTTCACAAACATTCTAACAACTACAGTAATGCGTGGGAGAGTAATTTCAGTGGCTCCTCCTTCTCCCATGACAGGACTGTGGGGAAAGCATGTCCAGATTTCTCTTAGAGGTGGCTGAGCTAAATTCTTTGAGGTCAATAGAAGAGGAGTTCTACTGTACAACTCCATAGCTTGTTTTCTTCAATGGACTTAGTAGGGTAACAGAAGCCATAATGCAGTGCAGAATTTTGTATGCTTCCAGTATTCATCCTTGCTATTTCTGTCTTCGTGAGACACATTTCGTTATCTAAAGAGTGTTTGTTTTACAGTTTTTGCACAGAAAGCTCAAAGACCTGAGAATCTCTATGTCCCTAGAGGAAGGGTTAAGAAAGGTAAGTCAGTATTTCACCCTAATAATCTTTCCAGTAATCCAAAAGAAAATCTGCTGAGGTAGCTTCATTTGTGTAAAATGTGACAGAATAGTCTGTTTTACAAGGCCCTGGGGATAATAGCCCTGTATAAATGACCCAACATTTCTGATCGTATGTGACACTGGAAACTTTTTGTAACTGCACAACATGAGGGTGGCCCCCTTTTAGTACATACTGTACCTATTCCCTGTCTTGGAGTTTATCCTTAGTCAGGATCCTGATTATCATTGAAGTTCTTTTTTATGCAGTGACCCATATTACTTCGTGGAGTCTATGTCCCACTTCTGATCTTCTCGATACAGCCACTGCTGTTGATCATTATTTTCTGGGATTTAACCTTTAGTGAACTGTTTGCCATTGATCTCTGCACTTCCAAAACTGTGCCCTTATTCTTTCACCTCTTATCCTTTGCACTATCAGAGTGCCAGCAGCCACATCTGAGCGTTTAGCTCATGTATTGGGAACTCCTCTTTATGTTGCAAAGGAGTTAAAGTGCCAGCAGCAGCAGGATGAGTTTTCACTTTTCTGTTTCTGGAGTTACACTGCACAGACTACCTAGGAAGATTCTAGCTTTGTGACTGCCAAGGTAAAAGCTCTGTTTTGTGGATTGCTGAGGGGACAGAGATTTTTACAGTGAGGAAGCAGAGCACTTTAAGGAGTACACTTTGTGCTGCTCACTTAAATTATGTTTTTAAGAACAGAAATTATCCCTGGGACATATTTGCATACAAGGCTACCTAAGCTCTGTTTTGTGGATTGCTGAGGGGACAGAGATTTTTACAGTGAGGAAGCAGAGCACTTTAAGGAGTGCACTTTGTGCTGCTCACTTAAATTATGTTTTTAAGAACAGAAATTATCCCTGGGACATATTTGCATACAAGGCTACCTTTCAGGTGGGCTTTTAGCCCTGACAAATAGCAGGATGGCATAAGGGCAAAACACTCTTCTGATTAGGGAAACATTCAGTCTGTAATACTGATTTTTTTGCATCTCCACTATATCAAGGGTGTTTGAGTTTCTTTGTATTCAGTGAGGAGGACAGATGTCACAAGTTCAATAATATTTTTGGTGTTCTCTCTTCAGAAACCATAGTCAGGCCTGTAAGGGACCTGTCTCAATCAAGCATATATGATCCATTTGCTGGAATGAAAACCCCAGGTCAACGGCAGCTGATTACATTACAAGAGCAAGTGAAAATGGGCATACTCACTGTCGATGAAGCTGTACTTCATTTTAAGGAGTGGCAACTGAACCAGAAAAAGAGATCAGAATCATTCCGTTTCCAACAGGTACAGGCATATTCCACTGTTTAAGAAATACAGCTGTTTCTCTAGGTTTATGTCAGAAGCTGTTCAGTGTGGGTACATTTCTTTCCTGGCTGGAGCAGGAAGACTGCTAACACATGCCCCCGGCCAGCACAGTTCTCTGACCTGAGGGGCTGTTCCCATGCAGCAGCAATCAGGTAGCTGTTTTACAGATCTGTTTGTCTTGCAGTAGTATGGTTAGATTTTCGAGATCTGTACTCTAGGAATTGGGCCAAATCCAACTGGCTAAATTACCTTCCTAGAAGTCATCTAGCATCTAACTGCTGGCAGGGGACTTCTGTGATGAACATTTAGCTTGTCAGTTCTCATCCATTTCAGATCAGTGAATACTCAGTGTCCCAGATGGTGTATTAGCTTTAAAGTCCTACCTTGTAAATGGTCTGATCCTTCCCTGGGTGTTTGATGGCTCCGGGACTACCTGTTCTTTGCAACTGGGCAAGACCTAAAAACAGGTATCAGTGAAAGCACAGTGTTTGGGTGGCTGAGCTGAATGAGGGAGTTACTATGTTGGCAGCAGCAACATAATGACTGGTGGAACTAGGAGTCATAGTTTAAAATCTCCATCTCAAGTTAGAATGGGGCTTCCTCGCCTACTTCTCTTGGAGCCTTTTGTCCATGCTGCAGCAGTCTGCTCTCACACTTGAGGTGCTGGTCTTCAGTGTCTGGCACTGCTTTGGGAGGTGTCAGAACAAAGCCAAGACTTTTCTCCTCCTGATTCTCACTTGGAGGGTTCTTGTCTACCCAGAAAGAGTCAGAGGAATTCCTTCCATCAATAAAGAACACAATGCTACTTTAGCAGATGCCTGTAGCAGAGATGAAGTGGCATGCTCTGTGCCACATCCCATGGGCAGCTTTCAAAGTCTCTCTATTTCAAAGATATTGCATCATGGTACAGCAAGTGCTCCATCTTCTTTTCCACTTATTCAGGGGTTTCCTCATCTTACCTGTGTACATATTTCCCTGCTGGAAAAGTTGGTGGTTTTTTTTTTTTTCTCCTCACCTTTCCTTACTGTAAGGTGCAGTATGTTGCCACACAAAGATGAAGAGACTTTGCTCCCAGTTACATTTCCAGGTGTCCCCTCTTGCTTCAGTGGGGACATCCTGAATTCTTTCTGAATTGTCCCTCAAAATCTGGGATGTGTGTCAGCCTCCTCTGTCCCTGCAGTCAGTGTTATCTGTTCATCAGTCCAGAAAGGACTGTGCAGTTACTTGATTGTGGGTCTTGTTTCTGTGCTAGTGTCACAGTGGAAACAGAAAACAGAGGGAGTTCTAAACCAAATGTGCTGCTTGTCTGCAACTGCCAGTAAGTCTGTAAATTTGACCTAACATACACAATGAACATCTGAAAAAACTTGGCTTCTGAAAGGCACACATGGATTTCTGAAGGGAATAGATTAAAACCTGTTGACATGGTTTGGACTTCAGCCAGGTCTAACAGGCTTTGTTACAGCTTGGTTGCAAAGTTAGCTGAAATATAATATTGGTTTTGTCAGAAAGATGCTCATCCTCCTTTATCCAAAGCCCTGAAAATAATATCTTGTGATGTTTTCAGGAAAATCTGAAACGGCTACGAGACAGCATAACCAGGAGGCAAATGGAGAAGCAAAAAAAAGATAAAAGTGCAGGTAACAGTCTCTGATTCTGACATTCTCTGGTAATGAAGCAGCTAACAATATTAATAGGCTTTTCAAGAAATGTCTCTGTGTGTCTTGCAGTTACGTGATATTTTAATATTCACATCCATGTGCCTGTTGGCTAAAACATAGGGAAGTTGCTTTACTCCTCCATTTCCCAGACTGAGGAAAGGATGCCGACATCTGTGCAGTGAATCTTGATTCATTCATGTAGTTGCAATTGTGTTTAACTTTGTTCTCAGGTGCAAAGCTGTCTCTCAGAGGCTACACTTGCATAGACCCTTCTGAGCTGTTAATTTTCTCTTCCAGATTTGGAAATTACAGTACCCATTCGACATTCTCATAATACTTTGGGGAAACCAGAATGTGGAATATATGAATACGCCCCCAGGAAAAATGTTTTCCCACCAAAAAAGGAGTTAAAGCGAGGAGACTGGAAAACAGAAAGCACATCCAGCACAACAAGTAAGCAAACCCTGAGCATCACCCTCTCTACAGGAAAGCTGTATGGAAAACAATTTGCCAGCCTGACTCTGGAGTCAGCGCAGGGGGACAGGACTTCTGTTGAACCTACTGACATTGTCACACCAAACCCTGCATGCCTCAGGCTGGCTGTTCTCAAAACTGTAAAAGCAACTCCAGGTACACCAAGTAGTTTGGGTAACGTGTCTGCATATCTGCAAGAGGAGAACCTGAAAGCCGAACAAAAGATTCCCTTGAGCCTTCTCAGGGAAGACATATCACCCGTCTTAAGTTCTTAAAAGTAGATGGCAGCTGCTTTCTTAGAAAAAAGGATGCTCCCTTGCTATGACTCAGCAGGCATTTGTGCTCTTCTGGTTTGAAGAGCGTTAGTTATATTGCAGCTGGGAACCAGACTCAATATGTTGTTTCTTCAATTATTGTAGATAAAGGACAGCATTTTTCCTTGGTAGCTGTGGGATCTCTTGAGTGACTTCAACAGTCTGCACATTTTTATTGTCTTTGGTTTTTATTAGGTTTAATTTGTGCAAATTAGATCCCTGCATTCTCACTGTTACTGCAGACTGAGCAATTCTTGCAGAAATCATGAAGATCATTTTGGTCCTCTGAAAGGAAAAGTGGGTCCCCGTGAGGTTACTGCCTTTGTGGCTCTTGGCAAGATATAGTGGGCACGCATCCAGAGTAGGTGCCACAGGCAGCTGGCTGAGCCAGTAAATAGCATATAAGCAGTTGTGAGAGAGATGTTAATGAGCCTGCAGAGTTCACCATGTGCAGTTTGGTTGTCTTTCCCATGGCATGATTGTGAGAATGGACTCTAACACAGTATTTAGCTCTCTTAAGTGCTGTTGTGTTGTGGTTTAACGCACTCTGCTAGCAGCAAACACCATGCAGCCGCTTGCTCACCCTCCCAGGGATGGGGAGAGAAGTAAAGGGAAAAGAGACTTCTGGGCTGAGATGAGAACAATGTAATAACAAAACTACAATAAAATTGAAAATAATAATAATAATATATACAAATATGCAAATGAGTGATACACAGTGCAGCTGCTTGCCACCTGATGACCAAGGCTCAGCTTGTTCCTGGCTAACAGTGCCGGAGCAGGGAGAGTCCCAAGAGTGCAATGCTGGAAAAGAGATAAGATCCCAAGCATCTGAGAGATGAAGAGCTCACAGAGAGAGTGAGAGACAGCCCTGAGAGAGAGGGAGACAATCCAAAGAGCACAAGGGGACCCAGAGAGAGTGAACTTCTGGACAAATCCTTATCCATACGCTGGGCATGACGTGCATGATATGGAATATACCATTGGCCAATTTGGGTCTCAATCCTAAACTTAAGGTCAAATCCTAGGCTAATAACTGGGGCTGTGCTCCCTCCCAGCTTCTCTTGCACCTGCAGACACTGGCACAGCAGAGAAGCTGAAAAGTCCTTGACTGTCCTGGCAGCAACTATAAACACCAGTACATTATCAGCCTTCTTCTTGGTACAAATGAAGGAAGTTAACTCCGTCCCAGCTGAAACCAGGACATGCTCTTTTTACTAGCTGATAATGAGTTACCTCACCAAGGCTAGGGAGAGACTGCATCTTATGAGAAAACCTTTCTAGCCTCCATGTCAGTGTATAGGTTTCTGAGCATTTGTGTCCCAGTATTGCACAGCCCTATTGAACATTATGTATTTACGACTGAAACCAGCTGTAGCACTGTAGGATATGTTTGTGAGTTGCTGTCCCCTTCAGAGATGGATGACTGATTGCAAAAACATTCCCTGCTCTGAGTCCATACATGTTAAATGGGTTTACATAAATGGTTGCTGAAGGTTGTTTGAACAAACTTGTGATTTTTAGCTCTGAAATAGATTAGGAAACATTCCTGTGATGAGTAAGGATTGTTGTAGAGGAGGTGGTGAACAGCTTTTGGGAACAATAACCTCTCAAGCAGTTACTTATTCCAGGAATGAATGTGTGACAGTGCTCAGAGCCATCTACTTCCCCACAGTTGTGAAGGGCTTGGGGACTGATAATTTAAATATATGTAAATGTTGGGTGTGTAACACTTGTGAAAATATTTACCTGACTTGCCAGCTGATATTGGCACTGGATCTTTTCAGTTTGATTATGTTTTTGATTATTTAACCAGAACCCTGGACCTAGATAGGGCAGAAATGTGCTAGAAAGAAAGCAAAACCGGATGGTTTGGCCCTGTGGTCTGTGTTGTATGAAAGGCCATTGTTTGAATAGTGAACATGTGAAAAATAACAGTGGAAATTAATTAATCTAAACAAGCATTAAATAATGTGTGCAGGAGGTAAGCATGAGGTTAGAAGGAGTTCTGAGTTACTGATGTGCAGTTAAATCACCAGGATTTAATAATCAGTTTATTCTCTCTTGCTTACTCACTCCAGGTAGCACAAGTAACCGCTCCAGCACTCGGAGCGTATTGAGTGTCAGCAGTGGCATGGAAGGGGATAGTGAGGTAAGCTCTCACCTCTGCTATATATTGGTCCACTGTACTTAAGTACATGGCTTTGTTTTTGTGCAAAAGAAAATGAGCTCAGGGATGGCACTGCATTTGCAGAATTGGCAAAATGTAGCCACTTTTGTTGTGAGGCTAAAAAGAACCAAATTCTGCTGGTCTGTAACCTTTTTTTTTTCATTTTGTAGGACAATGAAGTCCCAGAAACAAACAGAAGCCGCAGCCCTGTTGCCCACCAAGCAGAGAGGCTTCCTTTCCTGGAAAGACCTCCCAGAGTGCCTCCTCGAGGTGCAAGCAGGTAAAGCTAAAACACAGCTCAAATAGGAGCTTTCAGTGAAACAATATGGAAGCCTTGGGCAAGGCAGGAAGCAAATTTGTCTTTCAGCAAAATCTACCAGACCATTACCTATAAACACGCACTGTTAGGAATTGTAAGGTCCTTGTTTCTCATCTGTAATAATTTGGTGGAATTGGTTCTTAGTTGGTAACATGCCTATTGCAATGCTGTTACTGTGGTTCACATACTGCAAAGGGCAGCACTATTGAAGCACACACTTGCCATAATAAGACTGACCCAGGTGGAGTAGTATCCTACCCCTGGCAGAGATTTAGTACCTGATCCTTGTGAGAAGATCATCTTGGAACATGCAAAGCAGAGTGCAGAGGGAATTTGGCATTCCTTTGGACTTTTTTTCTTTTCACTGATTTTGGATCTCTTCAAAGCACACTTGTGTACACGTATGATTGGCCTCAAAGTAAAAACTGCAGTGGTTTTATAAAGGGTGTTGAAGGGTTTTGCCTTGATTTGATCAGACCACAAAAACTTCAGTAACTTGTAAACTTTCCTTTAGTCCAACCAGTGCAAGTCTATGAAGTCCAGGCCCCAGAGGCTTATTGAAGTATAGATGCTAATAAAATTCTCCAGCTGTTAAAATAGTAATCACTAATGTGCGGGTGGCAGTAAATTCTGTATGTTGGCTTGGCTTTGGCAAGAACATGTCTGGAATTTATCTGCAGTTTGAAAAAAAATATTTTGAATCTTTTGATCTCTGCCTATTGCTCTTCATCTAATTTTCAGGAGAAAGCTATTATACTATCAAAGATTTACTCCAACCATGTATTATAGTATCTCTTTCCAGTAATAGTAGAATTACTGCACCTGAAGAGCAGAAGAAAGAACTTGGACAGGAACAAAGCTCTAGCACCTTGGCATCTGCTCTGTTGCTGAATCACTGATGGCCTGTTTTTCTTCTTGTATGACTATTGCTTTTACAGTATTCTTAGATATGATGTTATTGCATGCAATGTGTTGTTCCAGAACCCTGTTCTCCAGTACTTTTTAAAATGCATTTGTATTCTCTGTCTTCTTATAGGCCTGTAAGCTGTGAAGGCTTTTATCCTCCACCTGTGCCCCCAAGAGGTCGCTGAATCTCTCAACATCTGTGGAATATGAGATTTTTCTGTTTGTATGTGTGTTTGTACAGATATTTTTAGGTTAAGTTATTTATAATTGGGAGCCAAATTATTTCTTCTCCTTCGTCCTCCCTAAAGCTCTGTTGACTTTTCCCATGATTTTCACCAAGACTTCTTGGCCTTCTGTAACTTTTTTGATTGGAAGAATTTTGGTGCTTTGGGACTTGAAGAAAAAGTATTATGGTTGGAAAGGAGAATGCTGATGTGTGTTTTGGCAGCCCTGCACCAACACAATGTTTCCCTTTGACCCAGAAAGAACACATGTCCTTTTAGAAGCTAAATCCTGATAAGCATTGTTACCAAACCCTCGATACAACCTACAAGGGCTTGACTAGAAAGCATGCTTGAAAAAGTAAAGAAAATTATTTGTTTGAAGACTTTGTTTAAGGACACTCATTACAGCAGGAGCAGGTGAATGTACTGCTGTTTGGTGTAATGTTTTCGGTACGGGCATACTGACCTTTCAGAAGGTATAGAATCTCCCTCCTGCAATCACTAGGCCATGGGAGGATGAGAAGTCTTTATTCAAAAATGTGTTTGCATACAGCCTTGAAAACGCCTTTCCCTTTCCCCTTACCTCCCCGAAGAAGACAGATATTAACAAGGTGTTGTGTGCATTGCATTTACTGTGAAAATTCCCAAGGCAGCTGCTAAGGGACCTACTGTATCACAAAACAGGTGTACTCAAACGTTTTTTGGGGAGTGGCTGGGTATGTTGCTGTTTGAAATCACGACTGACCTCTCCAATTAGAGGAAGGAATTTGCAGCAGTTCTGTGTTCTGTAGCTGTTACACATGTTCATTGTAGGAGTTATATGAAGGCATTTCAGTTCATGCTCTGGAATAGCATAGCGGGTCTCCAGTTATAAACACACACATCTCCCAAATACCAGCTGTGTGGTTAGCCTGCTGCAGTGGAAACAGGCATCTTGCCTGGGGGCTGGATGCTAGTTGCTCTACTCTTCCTTTCCAGCAATGTGAATCTGCAACAGCTGTCTCCAGCCTTTTTTCTGCTTGAGGGCTTACAAACTTAAGGACAGCTTCCTGGTTTGGCTCTCTGTGTTCCAAATGTAGAAAGCATGTAAAGCAGAAATTAATTTTGATTCCTCATCTAAAGGGGCTTGAATGGTGGAAGGGAGTTGTTTTGCATTTTGGAGGGTTGGGGTTTTGTTTGTTTGTTTGTTTGTTTTTTCTTCCAGGCCTTGCAATCTTCTCTGCATATCCTTGCCCTTGGGGGACAAGTATAGGGCTGCGGTTGTCCATGAGTGACACAGATGGGAATTCTGTAAGAAAACATTCAGGGTAGAGAATTAAGCATCATTACCTAATTGGTTTTCAAGCCATTCCCCCTGAGAAAGGCATAGATATATCTATATTAGGTGATTCCTCAGGTACAGGTAGGACATGTAAAGCTTCTGTCCGCGCATGTAAGCTACCCTTAATCTGTCAAAGAGCAGGTGACAGCGTTGTAGCTCCTTTCTCTTGCAGGGTTGCAAACCCAGTGTGCAGAGCTGCAGGAGTGGTAGATGGCAACTGTGACTCAGCCAGCACTGAACGAAGGTGAAGAAGCCCCTGCTGCTCTCAGGGGTACAGGCATAAGCTAAATATTATCTACACATTAAACTCATAGAGTATGACTCCAAGTGCAGTTCATATAGCATCTCCTTTTAGTAGCAGAAGGATGCAGGCAGTGTGCTGCAGGTCTATAGCTAAAGGGGTGACCTTTTTATTTCTTTTTTTTTCTTTTAAGGACCTCAGTGCCTTCTCCAGTAACTCTGGCACTACAGGCTCTCAGTGACAGTTTGCTCTTTGTTCACAGTAGCCAGGGGAATTGCAAGGCTGGAGCTGCCTTTGTGTTTCCTTCCTGGAACAGAACAAAGTTCCCAGCACTATTTAGTCAAACTGGAAGCAGGGAAGGAGGTTTTGGTGCTGAAATGATGCAAATGGTAGCATGGATAACTGAAGGACACAGGGATATAAGACAAACTAAAAGAGGAAATTCAACAGCTTGATTGTCTACAGGTGTCACACATGCACACAGCTCCCTGGTTTGCTCAAAAGTTCCCTATCTCCTTAGTGCTGGCTGCAGCTATGCTCCAGAGCTTGGGGCTGTGATGTGATAAGAGGAATTTATCTGCTTCCACATCTGTCAGTCACAACATAAGGTAGAGATATAGGATGCAGGGAAAACTGGAAGACAGGAAGGGAAGAGCAAAATATGTAAGAGCATTATGCAGATTTCCTTTCAAAGCTGTTGGACTGACGCAGCCCAGGGATCTGTCTTCCCAAGTTAATTTTTAATTCTGCACACACTGTATGCGATAGCCAAATGTCTTCTGTGTGTGGGGGTTTATCTGAACTGTATCTGAGTGTTTGCCTTTGACAATCTTAATCACATGGCTGTGAACTGGATTTTTATTGCTTGTACTGCAGCAAGACAGTTTATAACTGAATTGATGAAAAGCAATTCATAAGTAGCCTTTCAGTTGCTCTCCTGTTTGCAGCTTAGATCCTTCCTTAGTCTGACCTGACCTGTCATACAAAAACAAATACTAGGGGGGCTCTGGTTTGAAGGAGAGGTGAGCTGAGTGAGACAGGTGGGGCTGAGAAATATAAATGCAGTCTGTTCAGGCCCCTTCTGCACTGTGTAAAGGGGAAAAATTGAAGATGCAGCTATAGGCTCAGGCATTCCTTTCTCACTTTCTCTTTGTAACTTCTGCTGGATTAGTTAGGAATCTCACTCATCAGCAATCACAGCAAAACTATCACCCTATCCAAGGAGAAAAGGAACAGCACTAAAATAGCTTCACTGTTAAATGCAGGTAGACAATTGTGACCCAGGCATGACTTCTATGTCTTTGCAGGCCAGCGGAGATGCACCTTCTTAGCTGCCAAAACATGTGTTGAACATTGGTTTTGTTTTATTTAGTTGCTTTAAGCCTCTTACAGCTCAGTGTATGGAGTCCTTGTACCTGTAGACTCCAGCTGTGCCAGTGAGCATACGGGGTGTGTATTGCCTCCACCCAAGACAAGAAGTGCACTGAAAATGAAGCTCAGAAGAGGCTGGAGAAGAAAACTGCATGCAACCAATGTTGGTTCCTCAAGAATGCTCTTTGGGGGAGCAGAGTGGGAATGAAGTGTGTTTCTGTTGAACAGCTCACGGCCTGAACAGATAATAAAATTGCTGGTAAAAAGTAAATGGTCTGGCCAAAAAAACCAATCCACCAAGCTCAGGTGGCAGCTGGCTGGCCCCAGGAGTGTGTTTGCTCTTTGTACAGCGTGCCTCACAAAACCTGCTGCAGCAGATGGCTCTGGCTGGCCCTGTTGTTGACTGAGAGACTTAAGTACTGAATAAACTGAATCATAGAATCATTAAGGTTGGACACTGAAGCCTCCTCTCTCTGTCTCCCCAAGGGCAAGCTACTCTGTTTTGGACTGAGATGCAATGACTAGAAGCATATGGTGTTATCAAAGCTGTCCAAGTTTTTATTTTTTTTCTTTTTTTTTTTTTTTTTTTTAATATAAGCAGGGGTTATGTATGGGTTTTGACAAGTATCTCTCTACAGCGACCTTGCTTCTACTGAAATATGCAGGAGACTGTGAAAATACTGTTTGGAAAGGGGCTCATATAAACGTAGCTTACTAAACTACGTTCAGGGAAGTCAGACCGCGTGCATAAGATCACAAGAGGAAAAGCTTTTACTATGGGTATGGGGGTCAGTGGTGAACAGGGAAATCTCTTCTTGCAGTGTTCCTGCCAAGCATGATGGCAAGTACCAGCACGGAGGAGCTCCTGCACTCAGCTCGTGTCCTTCGCTGTCTGTTGGCTTGTGCAGTATTTACGAAGATGGTGTAGCCTCTTTTTTTTAAACACTATGCCTGATATCAGTTTAAAAATTGTCTGACCCATGAACACTTAATACCATGAGCTCAGTGGGTTTTGGGGGGGGGGGGGGGGAGGGGTGTTGGTGGTTTGGTGTTATTTTGGACTTGTAGCTGGCGATAGTTCCCGGTTCCCACACAGGTTCGCAGGCTTTGTCTTGTCCAGTACCGACACAAACCTTCCGCGCTGTCG